CGGCCATTCTCCTGCCCCCTCTTATATATACGCTTAGAATAAGCACCCCTTTTCCTGATAGAGGGATGCAGCGTCGGGGTCAACTCCCTTCCCCTTCCATCTTTCTTCGAGCAGAGAAAGGCCAGGCAACGAAGGAACCGTGCTAGCTTGGAAAGAAAGCGCGACAGAGAAAAAAGGTTGAGAAAACGAAAACGAAGGCTGTTACTCGCTCCTTGCTACGGGACTCGGCCGAGAGGGGAAGCTGGTCTCAGATTCTATTAAGATCTCAGTAAGTCTTGTTACACGGAGAGGCCACGCCGCAAATCTCGCAATAAAACAGCCACCGGTATAACACCGATTCAAGGCGACCGTCTACCGACTGTGGCCGGATCGTCGTGACGCTGCGCTAGCGGCGACGTCGGCCACCGTCTGCGGCGTCGCCGCCTACTCGTACGTTGCCAAACATCCCTCCGCAGGAGGTCCGTTCGCCCGCGTGGATTCGGCACGTACACGGGCATCGGAAACGGAAGTCTCGGTTAATCCGAGGAGAAAGCTGCGGCTATCGGTTATCCGAACGTTGTCTCTCGAACCGCTTTAAATCGCTCGCCCTTTGATTTAATAGAACGCCACGGAGTAACGATACGCGGCTAATTTTTTATTTTTAACTTTCGTATGTAACATAAAGTCGGATACACATTCCTTCTGCAAGCTAACTTTTCATCTCTGCATACAGTGCGCGGAATAGAACCAAAGATGGATCGAGCAAGTAGAACGAGGTCGTAGGTGGTCAGACAAGTGGAACGACGTAGTCGTTGATCAAGAAAGTAATATACACTGCTGTTCAAAGATTGAAAGCACTTTTGCTTTTTAAACAAAATAAGCTTTCTCGTACATACGCTACAGTCTTATTAAAAATATTAAAATAAAACTAAGAAACTTCTAAAAATTTAACTTAAGAAATACGCGACTTATTTTCAAATTATAACGTGTTCGAAGCTTTTGGAAGACACTGTAGGTGCAGATACTGGTTGAACAGGTACGATAGTGACTATTAGCAATCAAAGAAATAAAATATAATATAAACTGCCGTCGATTAAGTAAAATAAAAGTGGTGGACATGTAGTTGGTACAATCTCACGAGCGAAATATGGTAATTCTTTCGGTAACAAGTAATCGAAATGCCGGAGTGGTTGATTGAATCCGGTTTAGATAAATCGCCGGAGCGGAATGGTGCAATGGGAATATCAATACTAACGGCGTTATAGCGAGTTAGATGTAGTTAGGTCTATCACGAACAAGTTAAATACAGTTAGCGTTGGATTGTAACTTTGGGTTAGGTCATAACATGAACTGAATAAAGTTTTTTCCTTCTACGCGGACGAGCTACCCCACATCTGCGTCAATTTGTTTCAGTAACTACTCCGTGACTTATGTCAAATGTTACCGAAACGTACCTATCGACCGTAAAGGGTTAAGAAAGTAGCGTGTAACTTCTATTTTTACTCGCCCAAGTGTTACGAAAACATGTTTTCAGACTAAGATATCTTACGAGTGACCTTGTTTCCTCGACGAGACACACGATACCGCGAGATGTAAGTATAATCCTCGGCAAATAACGCGGAACCATATAAACGAGACAATGGAAGCTTAAAAGGTAAATATGAAGATCGATGGGGGGAGCGTGGTAAGAAGCAGGAAAGCAAGGATCTCTCGTACGGCCGTTCGAGGAGATCGAAGGAGAAGGAGCCGGAAGAGGGCGGCTCGGCCTGCGGGCAGGGGTCCGAAATCAATCAAAACATTAATTGAAAGAGCCGAGAAGACAACGGCGCCCGTTCGGCTAAGGCGGTAGCTACGGATGGTCTTGATAATCGAAAGATATCCTTGGCCAATAGCTGGCACGGCGGAGCAACGAGCAAGAGTGAAAGAGAGAGAATGAAGTTTCTTGGCCGTTCGTTTGTTCGGGACGTCCGGAAGCGGAGGAGAAAATTCGTAGCACGAAGAGAGCGGGAGTCGCGCGACGCCGATAGCGAGGCCGTGTCGGGAGATGGGAGAAACGTTTAACAAAGGGAACAAAGTCTTTTTAGACCGGTGACACGAAACGGCCCGTTATTGTTCGCGGTTTAGGGCACGGAAGTTCGTGCTATCCCGCGAATCAGCGCGTCGATACACCCTGACCATCGAGCCGATGACCATACGAGTCAACGACCAGCGGAGCGGTCAAAATAAAACGTGGAAAAAAAAAAAGAAATTGTTTATCGGCTTGCGAACTCGATCATTCGGCTCGGTTGATTCGATTCGATGGTAATGTACCGCAACCGCTGCTAATAGTACACGGGACAGTTAATGAACGCGATCTCTATTCAATTGTGGACCGGTGTTATTAGTAGAAGCGAACGTAGCCGCTTTATTAATTAATGAATCGATTTTAGTCGGTGGCCGGTTAATTATTCAACGTCGGTCGGCATCGGTGCAACTGCAAATGGTTCTTTAATGATCAGAGAGGGGACAACGATATTGCGAGTCGCGACCGCGGTTCGATTAAGCGCGTGCTCAAACCGTGCGGAAACTACCCTCTCGCGAGCCGATCTTCTAGGGGCGAATCGACCCCCGAAAATTCGCATTACCCCCGATTGCCTTATCGAGTCGCAACCGCTACGGCGAACTACGGCCAACGAAACGAATTAAAGTTCGGGGTTAATTATATTCCCGTTCGCGTGCGCTCACAGACCGCCCACTTCAGCCCTGCCGAGTAGATGAGGGTGGCGCGTTAAAAATTAGACCAACCAGACCTCCTTCCACCCTCCGCGTGTATCGTACCGAAGAAAATTCCCTTCGAAATGCGGCAAAAAAAAAAAGAAACGCACACCACACCAACCACCGATGGTAGGAGGGGGGGGGGGGGGGGGGGGGGGGGGGGATATAATCAGAGATGTCTGAAAAATCTTGTAAATGGAATATTGGGGGCCGACGCCCAGAAGGACGCGGCACTGCCACCTGGCGGAATGCCCAAGGACCCATGGGAAGCTTCAATCGCCGTAAAAGCAACGCCTCTGGATAGGAAAGGGGAGCGAGCAAGGAAACGGGCGAAGGGGATAGAAGTTAACTTAGAAGCTCGCGCGGCTGGATTCGTGAGTGCGCGGGACGAGGAGGAAAAAGGTACCATTCGCTACGAGTGGAAGAAAGAGATAAAAGAAAGGGAGCAACAGAGGGAGAGAAAGAAGGGAAGAAAAGGATAGGTTACGATGGTCAGTCCCGGAGATACACGTTCGACCGGTGCACCCAACTTAAGAGGATTACATTTGATATTTCGATCGGGCAAAGTGGCTTTTTATTGGACATTCGCCTTGGAATTATCGCTGACGCGTGTCGAAAGACATTACGTGTGGCCGGCATTATTAAATTATATCGCCATACCGTGGTCCCTTATAATTTTCTTCGGCGTCATCGTCGACAGATACCTACGTGAAACGTATCATCCCATTTACGAAACGAACGGCACGACAGAATTAAAGATCAGGGAGAGAGAGAGAGAGAGAGAGAGAGAAATAATGAAATAAGACGTAAAAAAGTAAATATTAATTATGCCATTAACGCAATTCGGTGGATGAGCGCGAAATCGCGCGAACACGAGGCGCTGTCCTGAATTCAATTTGCGCGGCGCGCGTGAAAGGAAGAAGCACAGGGTGAAAGAGACAATTGCCGTGAATCGTGCGTCTCTGACGTTGCAACGACGAACGCTGCAACAAGCACGTTGCGACGACAGTAACAGCAACATTCGTGCGACGAGACACGAGGTGCAGCGTCACGGTCATACTTCTGCTTTTAGCCGTAGCTAATTAGCCGCACCAATTTGTCGGTGTAAAATAAACGTTTGCCTCGCACGACCGTCTCCCTCGCTCCAGTTTTCTCAATTTATTTGTGCGCTCACGGAGAGCATACCTCTACACAGGCGATCGTTCGTCTCTGCCCCGTCCACAAGCCTCCTCCTCTCTCTCCACCCCTCCCCACCCCCTCTTTCTCTCTCTCTCTCCCTTTCCCCGTGGACTTCAAACGAAATAATTAAGTCACTCCGTTCGGGAGGACGACTAACGAGACCGCCGTCGCTACTAAAACTGGCACCAATTATTGAAATTCAAACGACCGAATATCTCTCTCGCGTCTGTGACTAACCGGGACGGTCAATGGACGCACCCCCTTTCAAGTAAAAAAAAAAACGGATACGCTAATTCTAAATAAATAGCCGATCAATTATTTTCAATCTGGCATTCGAAAACACGCGAAAAGGGTACACCGTTAACTTTTTACCGGATAATTCATGGCTCTGTATGGGCGACAGAAATGGTGAATGAAATTTTTTTGTTCGCGAGTTTACGTTGGGGCGATAAGCATCGGTTGGCACCGTTTCAGTGTCATTAAAGTGAATGACCGGTATTCTATTCGTAATAACAGTGGCATTATACCCTTTATAAAACGCGATCGACCCGGTGAAATGTCAGGTTTCACACGGTTATACTGATGGTTGATTGAAAAATTCCCGCTACCGCGAAACTCGCTAATCGAGCGCCACCTCACGCGGCCGAAGCTAGCGGAATAATGTGCTAGCATTTTACGGGATGCAGATTAAGTACGCTTCTAAGGAATCGGTATCATTAACGGCAACCATACGATCTCGTCGTCTTAGACGAGGATGTGTTTAGCAGGGTCGATGTTAACGATTAATTATTATAGCAAAACACGCGAATCAAAGTAGAAGAAATGAAAATAATAGGTCGTCGTTCGTTTGTCTCTCCCGCAATTTTTTGTCTGTCAACTTTGGCGCGCAAATCGGATTCCACGAAATTTCATTATTTTTACAGAACACAAATCAGGTGCGTGGAAAATGAAATTGAACTCGTGAAATTTAGATTACACGTTCTATTACGAGTTCCTATTGCATTGCTCGTCGTTCATTTCTGACGAAACGTGCCATACAACCGAGTTGTTTAAATCGCAAAGAATTGATAAAAATCATTGAAACTTACCTGACAATCCACAAAATTCGAGCCAGCTTCTCCGGACACCTTGTACCCTGCACGATTCTCCGGGTCTCCTCCGTCACGTGACACTACACCAGCTGCACAGAACAACGTTCACTGTTTGACATTCGTGTTAGCCTCTCCATCAAAGCAGAACATTCGTCGCGCGAATTAAATCTCAACCAGATGTATCGATCGTCGAAGATCCCGTTCGATTCTAATCGCGATATCTGTGTTTACTCCGCAACGAAACGAAACATGCCGCGTCTCTGAAACACCGTGAACGAGCCACCGAATAGCAAACAACGGAGCTCACGAAACCGCCTAATCGGCGGTCGGTTGTAAACTGCCGAGTACCGCGTGCGACCGCGGCACGCCACCGAAAGTGATAAATCCCCACTCCTACGAACGCTCGTTCCCCCACTTTCGCTCCCAACTCCCCACTATCGCAAGCAACACCACCCCTCAGCCGGTGTTTCAGTGTTCCCCACCCTTGGCTGTTATCCCCACTCCTAATCGCACTCGTATTCGTATTCGAACCCGAGGAACTCGTGCGAACCGAAACCCGTATTTGCACCCACCATCGAACCCGCACTCGTTGCCCCACTCCGAAACGGCCTATCATCGAACCATTCACGCTGCCGCACAGTTTAACTGCTACTCGAGCGGAATTCTCCGCGAAGCCGACGCGACGCGACGTGGAGCGGGGCTCGGCGTTCCGTAGCGGATTAAGACTTCGTGCGATTAAAACTCTGGTCCCATCGGTTCCAGAACATGTTCCCACGATTCGAGTGCGGCTTCGATTGCAAAAGAAAGGAAAAAAAAAAGAAGGAAACGGAGGGCTGCGACGTTGAGTTGATTTTTTAAGAGGTAGTCCTCCTGATGGTCGGACATTTGACTTGTATATTCGATACGAGTTAATTAAAGGCGGGAATAACGAAGTCGAGGAGAAGATGGCTCGTTGGAATAGCAAAGAACCGATACGAATGAAAACGTTTCCTCGATAGGGGATTTAATAAGCACACGGGCATTGGTCGTACAAACTAGAAGTGTCTCTAATTAGCTTCCTTTCGAGGATAAACCAACGGCGAAATCGCTTTATACCGGGGGGAAAGTGTGCGCCTATGTGTGTACAGTACGTTCGAGCGTGGAAGATGAAGGGAAAGAGAAAGCATTGCAAGAGACAGCGTAACAAGAGGGTGAAAGAACGAGGGAGAAAAAGAGAGAGAAACGTGGTGGATCGTAACCCGAGTCGAGACATAGCGACGGAGGATTAACCACCGGAGCAGCGTGCTCGCATCGTAGAATTCCACCCCTTGAAATCGCCCCTACGAACCCTACCATTGCACGACGCGAAGCGAACGCAGGGATGGCATCCCTACTATATGTCCGGTTCTGCCGCTGGGAGAAGCGTCTACCACCCCTACGAGGCCACACCTCCCATTACAAAAATTACACTGGTCGCTGATTTAGTGTTCTGCGCCGGTTCTTGGGGGGTGGCCGCGGGGCAAAGAAGGCACACAGGCACACGGGCTGCCTGGTAGCGCGCGCGAGGGTGCCTCGTTGGTTAGGGTGGGGACGTAAGTAATGAAAGGGTTGCCGCCGGCTTCGAGAATCACGGAATCATTCGCCAGATTAAATTAGAAAGGCTATGACCTTTTTTCCACTCCCATACTATCCACACCTATGGAGCTACCCAAGCGAAATGGATTAGGCCATGTTTACTACCGCCACATCGACGATGGTCTCTTTTAATTACTGCCTGATTTATGACCGACCACTGATTAAATCAGGAAAAAGAGTGGATTACACCCGCAAAATGACATTCCCGTGAACTTATTCGATTCGCAGTTATACTTTTCCCGTTCGTCCTCGACTCACCCTCTCTATATTCATTCTATCCTTCCACCCTTTCTGCCGCGCACACCCCCGAAACATCCCGATCGCAGCGCGGTTAAATTTAACGTCCGCCAAGTTTCCGGTTCGCGGGAAACGCCGTCGCTCTATTTTTCGAATCGGGATTTCGACGCGTCGGTTTACAGTTCGGGTTTACCCTTTTCACCCCTGCTGCCCCTAACGTCATACACAGCTCTCCTTCCCTATATTTTTTCGCGAGCGAAATGAAATTGGGGCGATTGCCAGGTTTCATCTGCAATCAGGAACGAAACCATCTATGTTGAATTTAATTTCATAGAATGTCACAAAAGGTCTATCGAGGTTTTTAGTTGCCGCGCGCGTATACCAAAAAGCATGGTAACGGAAGCGAAATTTAAAGGACTAGCAAAATATCAGGGGGAATTCGTGATCGTTTCCGAGCGATCGGAATTCGTTTTCTCCCGCCTATTGCGGATACGTTTCGACGGAATCGTGGCTGGGAAACGGGCAAACGGGTAAACGATCGAATGATCAAGTAGAAAAGGTTAGTAGAAAGGGATGCAAAGAGTGGAGAGATAGCAAAGTGGAAAAAGGAGAGAAAGGATACGGCAGGGATAGAGAAAACAGCGAGGGTGGAGAAGATGGGGAGGGTACTAATCACTTCTAGGGACTTTAATGGAGGTTTTCTGTACGCCGTCTACTTTGTCCACGACTTATACTACTTCGAACCGGTTGGAAGTAGAGTATTTGGGAGAAAAAGCAGCCGGAGAGTAGCGTTACGTGTATTAAACTAAACGGCACTCGGCTGGCTAGGTAGCTCGCTCGCTCGCGCTCTTGTCTGCCGAAGAAACGTTCCGTGTCGATGCCGAAATAAATTCTACGGCTGCCACCCGCACCCCCGTCCACCGGCTATTCCAGTTCCGCCCGGCTACGGATTTATTTAGCGTTCGTTAATTAAGAGAGCTCGCACGGTTTCAACTTCTAAATTCGATCGAGCTTTTCTTCGATAAAACCTAAATTTCCCGCAGTCACGCGATATACCCTTCGTTACCCGTAATTGCCTGGGATGGTAGGCCGAAACAGGAAGCACAATTCAATGTCCGTTTCCGTTAACGAAACTGTAACGATAATTACGTGTCCGCGCAAGGGAGCGTCGAAACTCTCGATGGTAATCGAACAGTAAAAAATTGAAAAAAAGGAACTATCCAACACAGACGCCAAATTTCAAATCGTCTTTTAAGTTTTTAGCGGACACAGGAAGAGTGGCGGGAAAAATTTGATGACCAAGTTTCCCGTAATACATGCGTCTATCTCCCTTTCGATATTGATATCCGAAGGAGGCTCTTTCGACGAGCAAACGGACAAAACGCACATCGAGAAACGTCCCGAGTACTGTTTTTAAAATTCCTATTCGACCAAGCGTATCCTCGCTGTAACATCCGTTCAACCAATACGGCTAAAGGTAGCGCGTGTCCACGCTCGTCTCGCTGCTTCGTGGATTTATTATGCATGGACTTGATGTATCGGACATCGGACGAACAGGTACGTGTGGATCCTGCTGGCTCGTATGTGTATGTGGGTTAGTGCCGCTCAAGTGGCACTGCCCATCAAGGGAGGTAGACGTTACTCTCAAGAGTGGACCGGGAAAGGACGACTGCGAAGGATAAGAAGAAAGATGGTGAGACTTGGTGGGAGTAGATGAGAGTGGCTCGACTACCTCTGGCTAACGCTCCTTCTCGTACCGGACTTGCTTTTTCTCCGAGATATTCTCTCTTTCGCTCGTTTCCAGGCAACTTCTATTCGTCTACCTCAACGATCCTATCATGTAGGACATGCGAACGGTCTCGCGCGGGTATACCGATCGAAAAATATATTTTTTTCAGCGTGTCGTTGCTTTCAATTATTCCTTGATTACACTCGAAAGCGTTTTTTACGAACCGTGTCTAGCGAAAGAAATACGTTTAGTTGCGTTCGCCTGTAAACACGCGCGCCCTCTTAAATATGCCAAACTGTTTTGCATCTCCGCGGAAAAATATTTGTGCACCGGAAAAATATTTCCGGCACCGAGCGTGACCGTCCAAACACGGTTGTTCCCTACACGCATCCGCTTGTTGCCCGTTATCCAAACACGTAGGTATCCCCGATGCCTTTCTACTCCGTGAAACTTGAAATATTTTTTCGAGCGTAAACTTGGAAAACAAGCCGAGTACCGGTTTTCGTCTATTAGGCGATCAGGGCTGTTGCACGGTCAGAGGAACAATAGATCGATAGATCGTCGATGGTGTATCTCGTGTAGTGTCGTAGAAACGGAAAAAGGCTGGATGCCGATACGCGTTGCGGATTTTGGAAGGACGCAGCCCGATGGCATCGATGCTCTCGTGTGGCACAGATACTGAGAGCTTTTCTGGAAGAGCAGGGGTCCATTAGCCGACTCGCCTGTCTTCTGAGTCCATTACAAGATGAGCCGCCATCCCCCCGAGCCTCCTACCCTCCGTTTCCAACTTACTCAACGATACGGTACGCGATCTATACCTACCGTATAGATACGTTTCTCCCTCTCCTGTTTTCTCCTCTCTTTCTCGCTTTTCCATCCACCCCCTCCTCCCCTTCCTACCCTTCCAACCTTCTCCTCCATCCCTCTCTGTTTCCCTCACCCCTTCGCCGTCCCTGCCGCCTACTCAACTTCTCAATCCTTCTTGTCCGGCCTCTTAATCCTTTTTCTCGCAAATAGATAGCAACGTAAAAGGTATCGAGCATTACTTCATAGCGTCCCGTAATTACCGACCCTTTTTCCATCGCATACCTATCCCGAACAAACGAGACCGAATCCAACCGACGACGTGTCCCTTAACACGATGACGAAAGTGGACGACGTTTCGAATTTCGATGCGCAAATACCACCGCATTTGATCTCCTTATTGTACAAGTCCTTTCAACGCCGCATCGTACGAAGGGCAGGATGAAAAACGACAAAACTTGCTCGAACGAGGAACGACAAGGTGCGGAACACACCTCGAACGACGGTGCACGACAATGCGTCAAGTTCTGCAACGTGTAGTATGCCAACCGCGGTTAATCTTATTTTGTAATGGAAGACAAGAACGATTCGAGCAAGGGGTGCCTTTAAATCATTCTGCACACCTCTAAGGACGGATCAGAGGATTAAGCCAGGGACATACGTGGGAATGTCCAGGGTGAAACGAGACGCGTTAAGGCGGCCAGC